TCCTTTGGCCTTTCAGCAGGAGACCGCAAGATGTTCGCTATATCTGAATAAGAGCACGAGGCGGTAGATGCCTGTCTGAAAATGAGGAAGATGGCACTGATGAGTCGGTCCGAATATGAGGACGAGGCGGTGGTCGCCTGTGTGAGTATGAGGACGATGGCGATAAGGAGCCGGTCTGAAGATGAGGACGACGGCGCTGATGAACCGGTCCGAATATGAGGACAAGGCAGTGGACGCCTGTCTGAATATGAGGACGACGACGCTGATGAGTCGGTCCGAATATGAGGACGAGGCAATGGATGCCTCTCTGAATATGAGGACGATGGAGCTGATGAGGCGTTCCGAATATGAGGACTCGGCGATGGACGCCTGTCTGAATATGAAGATGACGGCGCTGATGAGTCGGTCCGAATATGAGGACTAGGTTGTGGATGCCTGTCTAAATATGAGGACAACGGCGCTGATTATCCGATCCGAATATGAGGACTAGGCGGTGGATGCGTGTCTGAATATGAGGACGAGGCGACAATAAGTCGTGCGTCATATAAAGGTAACGGTCACCATCCAGGAAGGGAATGGCGAGCCCAATCACTGGCTCAAGACTCTCGGCGTTGAGGAAGCCGGTCTTGAGAAGATAATCACGCCGAGGCTGAGGGGTCGGTCGTGATGTGAGGATGGCGACGATGAGGAGCCAGACGTCATATAAAGGCGACGGCCACCATCCTGGAAGGGAATGGCGAGCCCGGTCGCTAGATCAAGACTTCGGCGCTGAGGTGCCAGTCTTGATGTAGATAATCACGTCGTAGCCAAGGGGACGGTCATGATATGAGGACGGCGATGCTGAGAAGCCGGTCCGATAATATGATGATGGAGCGATGATGAGTCGGCCGTCATATAGAGGCGATGGTCACCATCTAGGAAGAGATGGCGAGCCTGATCGCTAGCTCAAGAATTCGGCACCGAGGGGGCGATCTTGAGGTAGGTCATCACACTAAGGCCGAGGGGCCGGTCGTGATGTGAGGACGGCGACGCTGAGAAGCCAGTCCGATAATATGATGACGGGGCGATGATGAGCCGAGCATCATATAGCGGCGATGGTCACCATCCGGGAAAGGATGGCGAGCCCAATTGCTATAACAAGACTTCGGCGGTGGGAGCCGGTCTTGAGATAAATAATCACGTCAAGGCCGAAAGACCGACCGTGACGTGCGGACGACGATGTTGAGAAGCTGGTCTGATAATATGTTGACGGAGCGATGATGAACCGACCGTCATATAGAGGTGATGGTCACCATCTATGAAGAGATGGCGAGCCCGATCGCTAGCTCAAGAATTCGGCACCGATGGGCCGATCTTGAGGTAGGTCATCATGCTGATGCCGAGGGGCCGGTCGTGATGTGAGGACGGCGACACTGAGAAGCCGGTCCGTTAATATGATGATGGGGCGATGATGAGCCGACCGTCATATAGAGGCGATGGTCACCATCCGGGAAGGGATGGCGAGCCCAATCACTATAAAAAGACTTCAGCGCTGGGAGCCGGTCTTGAGATAACTAATCATGTCGAGGTCAAGAGGCCGATCGTGATGTGCGGACGGTGATGTTGAGAAGCTGGCCCGATAATATGATGACGGGGAGATGATGAACCGACCGTCACATAGAGGCGATGGTCACCATCTAGGAAGAGATGGCGAGCCCGATCGCTAGCTCAAGAATTCGGCACCGAGGGGCTGATCTTGAGGTAGGACATCACGCTGAGGCCGAGGGGCCGGTCGTGATGTGAGGACGGCGACGTTGAGAAGCCGGTCCGATAATATGATGACGGGGTGATGATAAGCCGACCGTCATATAGAGGCGATGGTCACCATCCGGGAAGGGATGGCGAGCCCAATTGCTATAACAAGACTTCGGCGCTGGGAGCTGGTCTTGAGATAAATAATCACGCTGAGGCTGAGAGGCCGATCGTGATGTGCGGACGGCGATGCAGAGAAGCCGGCCCGATAATATGATGACGAGGCGATGATGAGCCGGTCGTCATATAAAGGCGACGGTCACCAGCCTAGAAGGGAATGGTGAGCCCGATCGCTAGCTCAAGACTCTCGGCTCTGAGGAAGCCGGTCTTGAGATAGATAATCACGCCGAGGCCGAGGGGCCGGTCGTGATGTGAGGATGGAGGCGATGAGGAGCCAGATCTATAATATGATGACGGGGCGATAATGAGCCGACCGTCATATAGTGGCGATGGTCACCATCCAGGAAGGGATGGCGAGCCTGATCGCTAGCTCAAAACTCTCGGCGCTGAGGAAGCCGGTCTTGAGATATATAATCATGTCGAGGTCGAGGGGTCGGTCGTGATGTGCGGATGGCGATGAGAAGGAGCCAATCTGAAATGTGATGACAAGGCAATGATGAGTAGATCATCATATAAAGGCGACGATCACCATTCAGGAAGGGATGGTGAGCCTGATCGCTAGCTCAAGACTCTCGGCGCTTAGGAATCCGGTCTTGAGATAGATAATCACGCCGAGGCTGAGGGCCGGTCATGATGTGAGGACGACGGCGATGAGGAGCCGGTCCTATAATATGATGACGGGACGATGATGAGCCGACCGTCATATAATGGTGACGGTCACCATCCAGGAATGGATGGCGAGCCCAATCGATATAACAAGACTTCGGCGTTGGGATCCAGTCTTGAGATAAATAATCACGTCAAGGCCGAGAGGCCGATCGTGATGTGCAGACGGTGATGATGAGGAGCCGATCCGATAATATGATGACGAGGCGATGATGAGCCGGTCGTCATATAAAGGCGACAGTCACCATCCTGGAAAGGAATGGTGAGCCTGATCGCTAGGTCAAGACTCTCAGCTCTGAGGAAGCCGTTCTTGAGGTAGATGATCACACCGAGGCCGAGGGGCCGGTCGTGAGGTGATGTGAGGACGACGGCGATGAGGAGCCGGTCCTATAATATGATGACGGGGAGATGATGAGCCGACCGTCATATAGTGGCGATGGTCACCATCAGGGAAGGGATGACGAGCCCGATCGCTAACTCAAGACTCTCGGCGTTGAGGAAGTCGGTCTTGAGATAGATAATCACGTCGAGGGGTCGTTCGCGATGTGGGGACGTTAGCACTGGGAGGCCGATCCAAAAGTCCATGCAGCGGTCCTTATCCATAAAGTGAGAGGATGAGGCTGGTCTTCAGAGTATGATGATCACGTTGAGACCGAGGGGTCTGCCGTGTAGATATAAAAGATCACGTTGAGACCGAGGGGTTTGTCGCGATGTGAGGATGACGACGATGATAAGTTGTTCCAATAAATGATGATGAGGCGATGTAGAAGTCGATCGTCATATAAAGGCGACGGTCGTTTATCCGGGGGGAATAGCGAGCCCAGTCGCTGGCTCAAGACTCTCAGCGCTGGGAGCCGGTCTTGAGATGAATAATCATGTGAGGCCAAGGGGCCGTTCGTGATATGAGGACATCAGCGCTGATGAGCCGGTCCAAATAAACGATGGTGAGGCGTTGATGAGTCGGTCTGAATAAGAGGATGATGCGGTGGATGTTGTCTGAATATGAGGATGGCGGCGTTGGGCGCTCGTCTGAATATGAGGATGGCGGCGTTGGGCGCTCGTCTGAAGATGAGGAACGACGTTGGGCGCTAGTCTGAAGATGAGGGACAACGCTGGGCGCTCGTCTGAAGATGAGGGACAGCGCTGGGCGCTCGTCTGAAGATGAGGGACGGCGTTGGGCGCTCGTCTGAAGATGAGGGACGACGATGGGCGCTAGTCTGAAGATGAGGGACGACGTTGGGCGCTAGTCTGAAGATGAGGGACAGCGCTGGGCGCTCGTCTGAAGATGAGGGACAGCGTTGGGCGCTCGTCTGAAGATGAGGGACGGCGTTGGGCGCTCGTTTGAAGATGAGGGACGACGCTGGGCGCTCGTCTGAAGATGAGGGACGGTGTTGGGCGCTCGTCTGAAGATGATGTACGGCGCTGGGTGCTCGTCTGAAGATGAGGGACGGCGTTAGGCGCTCGTCTAAAGATGAGGGACGATGCTAGGCGCTCGTCTAAAGATGAGGGACGATGCTAGGCGCTCGTCTGAAGATGAGGGACGGCATTGGGCTCTCGTCTGAAGATGAGGGACGGCGATGGGCGCTCGTCTGAAGATGAGAGACGACGTTGGGCGCTCGTCTGAAGATGAGGGACGGTGTTGGGCACTCGTCTGAAGATGAGGGATGGCGTTGTGCACTCGTCTGATCTGCATTTATGGTCTTGCTTCTTCCATAATGTATAGTATTTGCCTCATATGTACTTAGCCAAATATATGGCTTGATTTGTGGGGATTTTGTTTTTATCGCTCGAGGCCGGCGAGTGCGCGGTCCTTGGCTTCCCTCTTTTGATTTGTGGGGATTTCGCTCGAGGCCAGCGAGTGCTCAGTCCTCGGTTGTCCCTCTTTTTATTTGTGGGGATTTCGCTCAAGGACGGCGAGTGCACGGTCCTCGGCTCTCCCTCTTTTTTGACTTCCTCTTTACTTCTTTGAGCGAGGAGTGGGGTCCTTCTTTCAAGCTTCAGCCGAGGGGGTTGTTATTCCCTTGGCTGGTAGGGAATCCAGGAGGGTAGTCAGTCCTCTGGCGCTGGCTCGTCCCTTGATCTTGGGGGTCCCGTCGTCTATTTACGACAAGGGCTCAGGCTTTTGGTTGGTTGCCGACGGCTGTCGTTTCCCAACTCCAAGTGTGGGGATTTTGTCACCTCGGCCATTCTTTCAGGCCTGTCGTAATACAATTTAGCGCGCGCGAGGACGACGCGGTGAACTGCCCATTTCAAGACCTGGGCCATTTTGCGGGCCCCTCGTCCTGGGACATCGGCGGCCATACCTGAGCATTTCGCTTGAAGGGGCCGACACGATGTGCTTTGTTGCGTGGCATCCTTTACTTAAATTTACAAAAATTAAGCGAAACACAATAGAAGCATTGTTCATGGCAACGACTTTTGGGCGACACGATTAGCGGCTCGGAGATTGAGGTGTATCGTTTACCACTTTTAGGCATAATGCCGTGTGTGGCCGATAGCGGCTCTCATTTTTAGATGCCCGAGTCACCAAATAAAGGTGATCGGGGTAAGTCGAGGGACCTAATTATAATCTAAATCATCAAATAAAGATGTTCGGTAGACTAGAGCTCGGTTTGCACCACTTTGGGGATTTTAACCGACTAGAAGGTAGAGATAATAATAATAGTAGTAAAACTATTTGGCTCCATATTTAATGCACTAAGTAGAGAAGTGTTTTAGGATACTTGGCTCTTATTCGCACCATGATTTTGGCTATTGGTTAAAATTCCGGCATCCTGGACCCTTTTTGTTGGACTGGATACTGCTGGCCCACCAATTCAATTTAGCCTTGGCTCGGTGGCCTTTAATTCCAGCCGCAGAACTTGCTGCGATGAGGATTGGGAGATACGAAGAGGATGCGTCCGTTGCTGCCGCTGAGAGAGAAACCGCTCATCGTTGCTAGAGGCCATGGGGACTTTCGCCTATTGCAATCGCCGATGAGGCTATCCTAGAGCGAAGTGACGGTCGTCAGGGAGGAGCCTTTCTGGATTGGGAGATGCTTTGGGCGTGGCAGAGGGCGATTTTCAGGTTGTCGACGCCTTCCTATCGTGCTTGGACGCATCGGCTTTGTTCAGGCCAATGCGTGTGTGGCCGATGGGCTGCCGTTCCACTGAGGTAGTGCCGGTGCCCAGACACTGATGGCAGACATTTAGGTAACTTTCGGCCCTGGCCGGAGCGTGATGTTTGGACGGGCTGACCCTGTTATGGCCAATGTGAGACTTCACCGGGGGTAGACGGGTGACCCTAGACGAAGGAGGTGCAACTTTTCCGCCGATAGTGCACTTCTAGCCGATGGAGGCCTCCACGACTTGTGATTTTGGCCGATGTGTCCGCACTGTTGGCCGGTGACACCCTTTTGGCTGATGGTGTTGGACTGGCCGAGGGTGTGTTGTTCTCTCCTCTGTTCATGTTTGGCCGAGGGGTAGCCAGGGGTTCCCCACTTGGATGAGGGATGCTATGCGAATTTTGGCAGACGTAAGTCCCTCATCAGCCTTATGGATTGTGATCTTGGCCGATGGATAATGAACCGTGCATCTTGCTTGCTTTTCTATTGTCAGACCTAGCCGAGGAAGGGTACCTGGACGTTGGTGACCACCTGATGGAGACGAGGGGCTATTTTTAGAGCTGCTTCAGTAATACTTGGGCGACATGTGGACTGTTGTTGACTTCAAAAAAAATGGACGAGGAGATTTCCTTCGCCGAAGTTGGTCCCCGGGCTGAGGGAGGTGCCGTGGATGGTGGGGGCATCCGGTGTTTGACCGGTGATAGTTCGAGGTGTCATGCCGGCCAAAGTGGTGGCAATTCCTTTAGATCCGGGCTGCTCCACCGTCTTGCCGAAGGGATCCACTAAGGCTTCCCGTGCCGCAAGGTGACAGTGTGGATTGGCCGAAGACTTGTAAGTATGACCGACGGTGATATGGCCGATGGTGTAGCAGAGGTGATTCCTGGTGTTGTGCAGTTTAGCCGAGGGATGGAGCACCACTTGCTTCGTTGTTTTCATTCTGCTCACCTTAGCTGGGTGGCATCATGTGTGAAATGTGTCAATTTTGCTCATGTCTTGCTTGGTGAAAGCCGAGGGTGTGGTCTCATTTGTTTGACCAGCACATAGTTTGATTTTTTGTCACATGTGCCACCTCGCCTTGACAGCCTTGTAATTGAATTGTAATAGAAGTGAAGCAGTTTCTGGCCAAGGTGTAATGTTACCCCAGCTGGGGCCGAGATGGCAACAGTTACAATAAAAGGCCAATAAATGGCTAATAAATGATGTTTAATCTGTTCTAATGGGTACAAATGAATAAATAGAGTGTACAATGAGATAAATGTTATATACCGAACGTACGTGGACTGCTATCCGGCCCCAATAGTCGTTATACTCGGGGGTCCGAGTCTATATACTCTATCATAGACCATCAGACCATGTACAATTTTTCAACGGATCACAATTGTAAGATAAATAAACAGTGGACCAAAATGAGACCAACATGATACTTTCCTACAATTTACTTTTACAATTTTTTTTTTGCAAAGATTTGAGATTCTTTTACTCCAGGGGACGTCTAGGGGAGGGGGTCAGGGTTGAAACTCACTCCATTGAGTTTCGAACCCGAGACCTCCCGTAAGGGAGAGTGAGTCAGCGACCCACTGGGCTGGACCGCTTCACCGCTTCCTCAAAGATTTGAGATTCTACGCTACCATGATTGGGCAATTCATCTAGGTTATTCAGATGAGAATTTAATTCTTGAGTGTAATCACCAACGTAAAAGCAGTTGTTATACCGTATGACCGGTATACCGTGAGCACCGTATACGGGCATACGGTTTTAGGCATTGGGTATTATTTTTAACTTCTCTTTTTTAAAAAAATGATAATAACTTTTTTATTTTTGATCCGATTTTTATAAAATTTATATCAACATTTTTTATTTTTCATGAACTTTCAAATGAGACCAATATTGTCTATGTAATTTTAACATATTATCGAACTATTATATTATCCTATGTAAAATATGTAATTTTACGTGTAGAAATATGTAACTCACATCCAGTTAGGCCAAATGCAACGCGTGTGTACAAATATGTAACTCTACGTGTAAAAATATGTAACTTTACATGTAAAAATATGTAACTCGCGTTCAGACAGGTCAAATACAACTCATGTGTATAAATATGTAACTCGCGTGTATAAATATGTAACTTTACGTGTAAATTTATGTAACTCGCGTTCAGGCAGACCAAATGCAACTCGTGTGTATAAATATGTAACTTTAAGTGTACAAATATGTAACTTTACGTATAAAAATATGTAACTCACATGTATAAATACATAATAAAATAAATTATTTATATACACAATTTTAAGATAAATTGTGATTTACACAATTATTTTTCTGATTAAATTTAGTTCGATTTTTCTTATAATCCAATACTCATTAATATAATAGTTCGATAATTTCTTAAAATTACATAGGCAATATTGGTCTCGTTTGAAATATCATAAAAAATGTTGATTTAACTTTTATAAAAATCGGATCAAAAATAAAAAAGTTATTACCATTTTTTAAAAACAAAAGGAAAAAAAATAAAGAAGTCCGTATACCGATATACGGTGCTCACCGTATACCGGTCATACGGTATAATTTGCCACATAAAAGTACAACTTTTGTAGTATGCAATTAATGCCAATTCATATGACAAATCTATAGACGATTTAAATCCGAAACTGTACGCCAAATCCAAGAATTTTTTTTTTTAGCCAAATCCAAGAATTTTTTTGAGATCCAAATCCAAAAATTAATGATATGGAAAGTATAATGAATTTAAGGGTTAAATGCACCAAACCCCCTCGTGAAATATAAATTCGGCGTAGAACCCCTGTGATTTTAAAAATGTATCAAACTCCCATGTGTTTTAATTAATTATGCGCAAAACCCCTTCAAGAACAAAATTTATAATTTTGAAATCACTTTTTTTAATAATATGGTTGAATATGCAAGTAACTTTATCCAAATTTTTAAATTATACAAAAAACTAATAATTTTTCATTTTTTTGGAAATTAAATTTGTTTTTGAAGGGGGTTTGGCGCATGATTAATGATAACACAGGGGGGTTTGACACATTTTTTAAATCACAGGAGGCTAATGCGCCGAATTTATATTTCACGAGGGGGTACGCATTAAACCCATGAATTTAATATGGCTGAGTTGAAATGCGCATGTCATTAATCAATCCGGGATATTCGGATGAACACAATACTTTGCAAGCCATTAATTAAGATATAAAGCCGTGTGTACCATGACTACCATCTGCCCAGCCAACTACAATGGTCCATCTCCAACATCCAATCCCAATTTGAGCCGCTACTTTGGGCAGAAAATGACCCCTTTTTCTCCTGCTTTTGTATTGAGTAAGAAAGTACATTTACAACTAGTATGACATCAGTGTAAATAGAATAATAATAGTGCAATACTGCATTAGTGACTAATAATATTATCATGTCAAAAAATATTATCATGTCAAAGTGTCAAACTAGTTCTAATATCACAATAAGAAAAATAAGAAATGGAGAAAATATGATGTAAGACAGTAAGAATGAGTGAAGAAATTGAAGAAATAAGAGAGTTGTAGATGTAATGAAAAAGGGTGAGGCATTGTTTAATAAGAAAACGAATTGAACCGTCTGTAACTAAATATACTCCAAAACACACCTAAACTTTTGATATAAACTGCTATGTCAGTGATGTGAAGGTGCTGTTTGTTCAATGGGATGGACATATGGCATATATATCTCTATATGTGTGTGTGCGCGCGTACTCCATATATATTTATATTTATATGTATATACACACTTTGAGCGAGCGAGCGATGACTTGAAAGACATAATAACTATTGTATATAACAACAGAATCGTCATTCAAGGTGCCAGTGGCATGAAAGTGTCATCATCCAACAACGCGTCCAAGTCAATAAGATCATCATCATCACCAACTTCACCGATATTGCTGAGCACCCTATCGTAATTATTCTGCAACATATTAACAACATCCAAATAAAAAGCTTTCTTTAGCCAATGTTTGGTCACAGTGGGTGGATCTGAATGGGGGGCAAAGCAAATTAACAAAGACAACACTAATTTGTAAATTTAAGACAATTCCTTGGGGGGTTTCGGGTAATAATACGGAGTATTTACATTTCAATACCCTGAACTTTTTTTTGAAAGAATTCAATACCCCGAACTTGAAACACATATTACTGTGTATAAACCAAATCCAGACAGGCACCAGACCTAAACAAACCAGCAAAATTCAATCCAATAAGACATTTCCCTACACTGTAAATCTTCCATCATTTTGTCAGCAGTCCTACATATTTTATTTGAAGTGGTCTACTATAATTAGAGGTTTAAACTTTAAAGTTTGATGGACCCAAATCCAAAAACTCCGTACTCAAATAACCCAAAACTGACAAAACCATACTCGAATAGGTGAATAACCCAAAGTCGAAATAGACCCAAAATATTCAGAGCCCTAAACATTAAAACTCAAACTTTCGAGGATTCTACTTTGGGCTGAGATCGAAAGCCAATGTGACCCTACCAAGATTCCAACAAGAAGGGTAACAGCGTCTGACATTTCCGGAAAAAAACTGAAACTTGGTGAAATTGTGGGGGGTACCTTAGTTTCCTGCATTTCAGAGACAACATTTAGCAGTCTTCGGTATTGATCTCTAGCCTCGGGATATTGAACCATGGATTTAACCCGGGCAAGGGCCTTCTGCAATCTGACCTCTGTTTGTTTTCTACCTTGCTTTAGGAAATCATACTCGTCATCCTCTTGTACGGGTTGGTTGACCGTGCTAGGGCTGCCGCCGCCTTCAGAGAGGCTTGTTTCTGGTTTAAAACCGCGTAAGCCGCTTCCTTTCCGTCTCCATCTCAGGATTACCTTCTCTAGTATTCCAACAGACCATATTATCTTCCCGTAGTTCTTCCTCACTTGATGCCCTCTTACATGAGCCTTTTTCAAGGAGAATAGGAGAAAAGAACAGCAACAAAATGTGAGAACTGAGAAGCATAAATTGATAAGTAACACCACAAAAAAATGCCATTTACCAATATCTACCTCCACAACTTCTGAACTCTGTTGGTATAAATTAAGCAATTGATATACTAAAATTGAAACCGTTGGTACAATCTATATAATATAATAAAGCTAACCCTTGGAGAGCTCTTTGGAGAAATAATTGACATGTGGCACCATCTTTTGTAGACAAAATGACATGTGGCAACACCATTAAACAAAAACTATTCAACTTCCAAACCTCCACTCAATGTATTCCAATAAAAATTTAGACAAAAATTTATGTGTACTATATATAAGTTAGGAGTATTATATATATGTATATTTATATTTATGCATCACAACGTTGTGTATAAATATAGGTAAAAATTTGCACTTGAGAGTAGCACATAAATTGAAAATAATACTCAAATATAAAAAATAAATAACAAATTATAGCCTCTTAAAATAAAAATATTCTTCGCATACTTCTTTTCCAACAAAATCTTGTGGGTTTTAAAGGGTGCTTTGCGGATCAATGTAGAAAATAAGAATCTTATCATGATTAATGGATGTGCACACATATAATTAAAAGAATGCGTACTTTAAATGGGCATAAAAGGTAAAACTTATCTACAAAATGCCACTTCATTTTTTGATTTATGGTAGTGCACATTTCCTTTGTGTGTAAGTAGTAATATTAGGAAATATAAATCAAAAGAACTGATTGTAAAAAAAATAAGGTTAGAATTAGTTTTTTGAGTATATATTAGCTAAAAAGTTATTTTCAACTACAAAATAAAAAATATGCAGGAATAGCTTATTTGAATGGTTACTATAGAATAGTAGTTCAATGAAGGCTGTTGTTAAATAGTAGGGCTTTTTACAAAAATATTACTGAAATAAAACTTATTTACACAAATATAATTATTATTTACTACAATGTAGTGTCATAGTAACTAAAGTATAAAAATTGAATATCATTTCATCATCATTTTCATTTACCCCAGTGCCGCAAAGGCTCCCACCTACGGTGGGGTAAGGGAGGGGTCGGATGTACGCAGTATTACCCCTGTACTAAAGCACAGAGAGACTGTTTCCGGATGACTCATAGTGAAAATCCCGTCCAAAATTGCATGGACTGACTGCTGCTTCATAACAAAGAAGCGCAGACAGTTTAGTGAGTCATTTTGCTTTATTCTATCATAATCTCAAGCCAAAAAATAATGAATCTTTGGCTCCATTGAAAATGATGGAAAAAGGTATAAAAAATGAATATGAGTTACTATAATTTCATTACTACTATGGTCACTATTCACATTTTTGAAAATAGTCTTCATTTTAGTCATAAATATGTAATTATTTCTAAATAGTAAGTACACAATAGCAAATAATTTTCATAGTAAACAAACAATAATTAAGATAGTGAAAGACAAACTAGGTGTTTATATTTTAACCAAATCACATGTTGTATAGTCAACCACTTGTGCATGTTGACCCACAAAACCAGTGAGTTAATCAGGTTATTAAAATGCAATCCACCGTAAAACGAGCAAGCCCGATGGAGTTGGACTCCTTTTGACATCTGTATATATAGTCAATTGAGTTCTCTTTTAAACGTCTTTTGGCAAATTATATGCAATCCATGGTCCCTATGAATTTAAGAAAAAATGTAAACACATATCTTACCGTGCAGTGCACGGGTACACACTAGTTACATAATATACCAACAGTTACCATTAAAATTGTAAGTATATGTTGGACAAAAGTCTTCTGCCAAAAACTCGAATGTAAAAGGATATATTTTAATTGTTCGCAAAAATTAACACTAAATCCTAAATTAATACTCTGTATAACAAGTCCAGCTTAATCTCTTCTCTCCTTTTTATTTTTTCATCAGCGCAGTCACGCAGCTCAGGCTCGTAGCCCTAATTACCGTCATCGTTCCTCGCCAAATCCTTGCCAATCATCTCTTCTCTCCTCGATGCAGCCTCGCCTCACCAAGACCTGCCGGTTTATGAAAACACCAATCGGTATGTTTTTCTTTTTCAGCTTTGAAATCACCAATCACTATGTTTGGCCTTTTTATTCCAACATTACTAAAATGATTGAAAAAAAGAAAAATGTGACTTGTTTTAAATTTTTCCAAAAAAGTGACTAAAAGTCATTTAATTGTTCTATTTAATCATACATTTATTATTTTAATAATATTCCTTTGCAGGTACCGGCACCCCTGTGGCCGCCACCCCAGCACCAGCGCCGTCACCGGCACCGGCACCACCACCACCGTCACCAAAACCAGCACTGCCGCCGCCACCAGTTACTATCTCAGTGACTCCGGCCACAGTGGCTGCCCGCCCACTAACCCCGGTGACTGCCTGTCCACCGGCTATAGTCGATGCCGGAATGTTTTCTACCGTACAGAAACCGAAACCGGCCACAGTGACTCCGACCACAATGATTGCCCGCCCACCGACCCCAGTGACTGCCCGTCCACCGGCCATAGTGGCTGTCGGAAAGTTTTCTGCCGTCCCGCCCGCCACCTCCTTGTGACACCGCCCACCGTCAGCTTCGCCAAATGACCGCCACGCCAAGCCCCCTGACCAACCCCCATCAGCCACAACCCAATCTAGTCCGCTCCCCAGGCCAAGCCCCCTCCCCTGCTCAAATGAGTTGCAACCTACGATGGCCATGCCGCTGTGACAGCAACCACCCTAGCCCCTGGCCGATGGTGGCGGGCCATAACCATCCCCTGGCCCTACCACCGCTTCAGCCTAACCCTAGCCGTCGTCACCTCTTCGGATCTAGATCTGAAACCAATTAGATCCATCGATTGGGTCAACGCCCCTTCGGCCGACTTCCAACAATCGGAAAGAAACTGAAGAATCAGAGAAGCTATCGATTTTAGAAGAAGAGGATGCGGCGCCGGATAAAAAGATGCTGCGGCGAGGCGAGACGAAGGTGATGAATAGCCAGCGGCGAGATGAAGGCGGCGAAGAGCCAGCAGCGTCGGCGAGGCGGCGTCGGCAAGGCAGCGTCGGCGAGGCGGCGAAGAGGCTGGGGCGGCTCCTCTGAAGCGTGGTGCTAAAATGAAATGATGGAGGCTCCTCTTTCTTTTAATTAGGGCAGAAGTTTAACGATGAAATCAGGGTTAAATGCATCTCTCAATTAATTCAGGTCATATTTTGGTAAAGAAAAAAATGAGGTCATATTTTGGGAAAGAAAAAAAATGAGGTCATATTTTGGGAAATGCAAAGGTCATTGCTAATATTAATGCCATTCTTTCATAAATAAATAAATAAATAAATAAATAAATAAATAAATATCCCTATTTCACCCCAAGAAGGTGGCTAGTTTCACTGAAATTATTAAGACTTTCTCAACAAACAAAAAATCATTTTCTGAACAAGTCATATGATGTCAAAGAGAGTCCTGTATCAATACCTACTTTTGTCTCAAAGAAGATCCCAATTTCAACAAAAGAACGCTAAGTTTCATTCAATTTGATACAATTTTTCCAAAACAAAACAAAGTTTTTTGAACAAATGTTTTAAAATTACAAGTAGATTTTTTAAAATAAGTATATTTATACTCCGTAATTGATTGAAGTGGTAACTTTTCAATGCCTTAGCCGCAGTAGGGGGATATTTACAACTACACCACACCTGAATTTTGATGATACGTTGCCGAATCAGAAGAAACTGTTTTCTTCCCTTATAACTGCGGTACTTGTTTTGTATCCTTATGGCAGCAGCAGCATGGGACGGTTCGTCATAGTGTTTTCCTGCCCTCTTCACACCAACAAGTGATGAAACAGCAAGCGCCTCACCAGAGAACTCATCACCTTCACCGTAATTTCTCATCTGTTTCCTCTGAAATGACTCCACCCTGTACACTTGTTGAATCTGTGCAGCAGCTTGGGTCGCATTACGAACTGCTGCCAGTGAGTCCTTCAGTGAGAGTCCATCCTGTAAATCTCCATCACGGACTGGGGTAGCAATACGCTCAGAAACCATTTGCACCGCATTACAATCCAAGGTTCTGTTTGAAACGTGGTAAGATCTAGCGGAGAAAGCATGAACAAACACAGAGTAAGATTAGCACAGAAAATATGCGGGGTGGGGGTAAAAGATTCATTAAAGCTCAGGGTGAACTTATTTTAGATACTTGTTCAGACTCATTTAATTTATCTATTAATATATACTCTCTTCCATCCCAAATTAATCGCTGTTTCAGCCAGACAGAAAAACTGTCCAATTCTTTTTGTCATTTTAAGAATCATTTTGTAAGATTTAATATGTGCAGTTCTCTGAAATTACAATTTTTCTGAGACGGAGGGAGTAAGACTGGGAAATATAAATATATATAAATGTAAAAAAGTCATTGATCATATTTCATTTTCCCTTGCATTTTTTATTTTTCAGTGTAAAACTAAGCATGAGATAATAACTTTTCCAACACTTTCCTTGTACTTTCCAAGACCCAAACATACCCTGGGACTTCAGAGTTATTGTCCTCCTTGTGCTCTTTCAATTTGAGGAAACCGAGATGGGTGCTTAAGGCAGACTCTGCCAGGTAACCAGCGATTCCCTTATGCCCGCTGGCGGATGCCAGGTCAGCAGGTGTTCTGCCGGAAGGGTGTTCAGGAGTAGGATCTGTCAAAGCTCCTGGGGCAGCTCCTAAAGAGATTAGGCAACCCACCATCCGTTCTCTAACGCACAGCAAGATGTTCAAATTATAATCAAACACAAATCAGATATCCCAGATGAGAGTTAAACATAAAATGTCCTTTTGGACTTGGCAATACTCGAGAAACTGATATGCAACACTTCCACGATAAAACTAAGCAACCCCATCAAATTTCTAAGCCAGTTATTTAATAGTTTATCATGGCACCAGATAGATTAAGGTTCGTTTGGAGCCGAAAAAATTTAGTTGGAAAAGAAAATGGAGAGGAAAGTACTACGTATAAGGGAAGAAAAATTGTGAGATGATAAAAAGGTAGATTCAAATTCAATACATTTATTTTAAGGAGTCCCATTCTGGTGCGTCCGGCCGCACAAGAAGCGCCGTCCGGCCGACGGCTTTTGGCCGCCTTCCCGGTGAAATTTTTTGATGAAATTTTTATGGCATGTTCTTCATTAAGTCTAATTTATACAAAAAAAAAATCAATTAAAAACTCAATCCGGGAGGTCCTCAAATAATTTTTTGAAGTTAACTGTGCAAAATTATACATAGAAAAACACAGTTAACTTCCAAAAATCATTTAACGACCTTCCGGATTGAGTTTTTAGCTGAATTTTTTTGTGGATAAACTAGACTTGATGAAGAACATGTCATAAAAATTTCATCAAAAAATTCCACCGGGAAGGCGGCCAAAAGACGTCGGCCAGACGGCCCCTCTGGTGCGGCCAGACGCACATGAATACTCCTCTTATTTTAAGTATTTGTGCAATGTGCAAACATACGTCATTTATTCATTTCAACGGAGTATTATATAAAGGATAAGAAATTTAAATTTCCGTAATAAATTTAAAAAATATATCAATAATTTTCTTTCATATTTCCCGAGGTAAAATCAAACACAAGAAAATAACTTTGCTAAGCCCATTCTTTCTTTTATCCATAGCAATATCCGAGATCCAATCAAATGCTAAAAGATAATTGAAGAAGGAAACGAGGAATAAATTTTGGATTATTCTACTGTGTGCTTTTTCATGTTTCAAGAATGGTTTCAACAATTTCAAGAGAAAAAATAAATTTGATTTCTAAAGGATAAGATCACCACTAAAATTAATACATTTATCACCATATCATGAATAATTTAAAAAAGAACGCAATACCTTCCATATATTGCTGCCCAATGAAGTGCCGTCCATCCATTCACATCTCTAAAATTAACATTTACTCCTGCAGCTAAAGTTGGCGGTACAACCCAATCATAATCAAGAGCCGCTGCAAAATGAAGAACTCCTTGACCGCTCTCATCAACTACATTAGCACCTTTCTCACCTTCCCCCACCTTTTGAATGAGCCAATTTCTCAAGTTCTCCTTTAGCAGCTTCCGTAACAGCTGGTCTTTTACTGTCTGCGTTAAGAACATGTCTCCCGCAGTGAAATGCAACATGTTTTCCCAATCACTGCTATCCTCTTTTAACAAAGAATTGATTTTTTTTATTACGCGAGAGATATCTTCTGCATTGCTATTAGGAATGGGGTTGCGGGACCCAGCACACTCCAGAGATAAAAGTTTCACAAATCTCATGTGAAGAAGACTTTCTTCACTGGACCCACCATCGTTTCCATAGACCTCGAAATCTTGAACTTCACCAACCCTGAATTCAAATTCTCTCACCTCGCTACATGCTAACCTATTGCAACGCGTTATGTAAAATGGAACCCTCCCGGGATTTTGGAAAGGTGTGTGGCAACGAAGAACCCCGTCTGCAATGACCTCAACAGGAACTTCCAAATCTCCAAACATGCACGCCCACTTATACTTCTCCACCTCTGGACGAGGAACTAAGAAATTTCCAGTAATTAGAACCTGGTTAAAAAAACATATTATTAACCTTGCAGGTTAAAAATTTGCTTGATTTGCTTAAAATTAAAACATATTCCATCAATAACCATACACTTGGTTAAAGTAGCTTTTTAGGACATTAAGATAAGAGCACAGTTTTCACCCAAGTTGGTGAGAGATGTACTTGGCTTAAATACCTTGGTCTCTGTTCCAGCGTACACCCAAGTTGGTGAGAAATCAATAATGCTAAAGAACTGATCTTGTGACAATGACGGGCTAAGGACATACATGTCTAACTGCACCTGAGAAGCAATGGCAGATTCATCTACTCCATTTCCAGCATTTTCCCAATAACTTCCAGAACATGATTGCATATGTGGCTCCTCATTTACATCTTCAAGCTCCTTACTTATCCAACGGTCAAAGCTATCAAGTTTCTTCAGCCCTTGTCTTAGAACACTGTCTAAAAAAGGTTGCTTCAAACCAAAATTGTCAATTTTGCTTTCCACATTAAGTCTGCCATCTAACTCGGCAGCTTTAGAAATGCTCTCACCATAGTTCTCTTGTGTATGTAACTTGCTAGTAAACTCAAATCCTTGGCTCGGTTCAATCTTCGGATCCACAAACCACTTTGATAGTTTGAATGATTCACCTTTAGGTGCCTGTGTATTGGAGTTGAACAAACTTTGGTGTTAAGCAAACTATACAAGGTTATTTCAAACTTGCTGATAGCAAGTATGTCATGAAAACAATATACATTTTCAGTTCACAATCGAAGAAACTTGCACTTTCAGTTCTTTAATTGTCGAGTGTTTTACATTATGAGATACGGGACTTGTCTTCATTTTTTGCAAAATTGGTAGCTCAATAGTTTGTTTTAGAAACATGAAGTTTTCTGAATATTATTTCCATGAATTCATTTACAAGAAGTACAGAAGCTATTTATACAGATAGGAATCCTGAGAGAGTCTATTCAGTACCATAGGTGACTGTCTAAATACTAAACATAAATGATTGAGAACTGAAAAGACAGCAGCTATTAAATACAACCTGAAGCACTAAAGACACGTAATTACAGTAATAATAAGGAAAATAAATCCTAGATTAATGATGTCTCTTTGTTTTATCAAACCTCCCCCTCAAGCTAGGTTTGTAGATATCCGTCATGCCTAGCTTGACAAAGACAATAAGACCCTGAAACCTAGGACTGTGCAGAGGTTTGGTAAACACATCTGCAACTTGATCTTCTGAGGGAGTGTAGCTTAGTTCGATCAGACCTCCTTCAACCTTTTCTTTGATGAAGTGCCTATCAATCTCAATATGCTTGATCCGATCATGTTGGACTGGATTATGAGCTATGTTGATTGCTGATTTGTTATCACACCTCAATTCCATTGGTCCTTTCCACTTGATTCATAAATCTAAGAGAATAACTCTGATCCATAGAAGTTCACATAAGCCATGGGCAAGAGCTCTTAGCTCAGATTCAGCAGATGATCGTGCCACAACATTCTGTTTTTTGCTTCTCCATGTCACGAGGTTTCTTGCTGTTGACAAGTAGTTGACCGGCGGTCAACGAGGGAGCCACCAT